GCAAGGAGACCAGCAAAGGAGAATGGGCAAAGGATTCATCATGCACGCAAGAATTCTGTAGCATGTATACTTGAAAAAGCAAAAGAAAGATACTTTTTCTTCCTGTCCCTTCATCTTTATTTGCCTCCAGCCATGAATATTTTTAAACGTATGCAGAGATACCCATGCTTCAACATGGATTCTTTTGTTTTCCCCCAAAGGGATAAAATGAAAAAGGGCAGTTCTGGGTGAAATCCCATTACTATAAGCTCAGAAATATTTGGCACGGCCTTCCTACTTAAAAGACATTCTAATCCGGCCATATCATACCACTGAATCCCCATATAAAAAAATTCTAGTAGTTCAGAAAAAATTAGCATATACCTGTGTGAGATGTAACTTCCCCTTTCACTTTTCTGTAGGAAATGTCATTGGATGTAAGACAAATGGGAATCCTCAATTAAAATACATTTTCAAAGTTTGTATTTCTTCAAGGACACTGAATTTGCATTCCCCTGACCAGAGACAGTTGGCAAGATAAAAAAGAAAATTAACTTCAAATATATGATACGTTCTTCTTCACATTTTGGCCGAAGAAGGTTGCAAAATGAGGAAATCCCTATTGGGAAGTGCCTAGAAGCCAAGGAATAAAATAATAAAACCCTAGGCTCTGCTTCCTATGTGTGTGGGAGGATGAATTTATAGTTGTTTTTCTTCCTCAGTCTCCTTGTTAACACCTGTGGGACTTCTATTTCAAAGTTTAGCATTTCCTTTTACATTTGTTACCTAGAGATTTAACTATGCATCTAACTATGGAGCTAGAGATACTATAAGGTTGTAACCATTGTAACAGGTATCACAGAAAAGCATTGTAATAATAGTTGTAGTATTGATTGCCCTTTGAGTTGACTTCAGAATATAGCTGCTGATATCAGTGTCATCTACAAAATTATTAAATATATTTGAATGCATACTGTTGGAATAAATAAGTAAAGGTTTTATGAAAGATATACCTAATGGCTCTATTCTGAATAGTTTTAGTCATAAAGTCATCACAAAGCCTCTTTTGTCTTGGGAACTAGAATCATATAGAGACTAAGGAACTATCCTATGTTTAATCAAAACATCCATCAAATTGAGGAAAGTTTCATATGGAAACCAAGTCATTTGGGTGTCTGCTGTATTCCTCCACTGTGCTTAGCCCAAGGGAATCTAGTATGTATGTCTCATCTAACTACCTATACGACCCAAGGAGTTTGACGACCTCTTGTCTAATTGCTATATGATGTAAGAAAGATGTCCTTGCTTCTGATTTCTTTTGCAAACCCTTAGAGTTACATCCACTGACCTTCAGTAACACTAATGATTTCTTATTTATTTGGTGTTTAACATCTTTGGGGTATAGTGTCCTGTGAAGTGATTGATATATATTACCTGGGGTGCCCATCCACTTATGAGATTGTGTTGCAGCCTGGCCCACTAGTGGATGTAGTTTTCCAGTGCAGTTCTCTGGGACAGGGGCATGCTTTTGTTTTGGGAATTTGAGTTGGAAAAGGGTAATGTGGGAGGAGAAAAGATCAGTTGAGTTCCACCACCTCTAGGATAGGGGATTATTTCTGGTTGCCACATTGCTACATTTTCAAGACTATGTCATTCTCTTTACAACAGAGAAACACAACACTTGGGACCAATCACTCTTTTGTCATAAAATTAACTTTTTCTTCTTCTGGATAAATATCTCTGAAATGGAAGGGTATATTCACCCTCCCGTGCCCTATATTATCAGTTCTAATGATGGGCAGAAAACACTGGGTTCTGTAGTTCAATTTTTAGATAACATGAACTTGATGAATACTTGATTATAAGGAATAGATATTTTAGGTGCCTTTCAAAAGAAAGAATGCTGATTAGCTTTGTCATTTTCACAAAGAAGAGACCATCCCATCAGGGTTTGTGTGTGTGTGTGTGTGTGTGTTTGTATGTGTGTGTATGCATTTGTAGCAGTATATGTGATTTATTTTAGTTTCAGGTTTTAAAGTTCCATAAAGAAATCACTGGGCATTTTCTGCCTGGTGGGATGGAAATGTTTTAAAATCTAAATGATGCTGGGAATATTTAAGAGCATGCTTACTTGGCAAAGGAGAGAGCTCTGTGAGCGATCAAAGCAGGACCTGGCAACCATTTCCTTGGCATAGATTTGTGCTGCTTGGATGAATGAAGGCTGATCAAATCACTGCATTCAGCAGCTGCTGGTTAATTTGCTTTTTGGTATCATACTCTGGATAATGTTTATCAAAAGTCTGGGTGCATTTAAAGGGGCACAACCGCGAGTGAAATAAGTAAAGTTTAGGATACATAGCCAAATGACTTCCATATTTAAAGGCAGGTATGCTTTGCAAATCTGGAAAGGTCTTTCTTGCTCATACAAGATCTGTCATTAAGTCTGCTGCCTCATGAGTTAATCTCCTTGTCCTCCATCCCCCTACCCTAGACTCACATCACATGTATCTGCCCTGGTTTTCTCTTTGCCCCTGCTAAGAGTCCAGTCTATACTCTCCTACATAATATGGTGATAGAATGCTCCACAGTTTAAAGTATTTTTTTATATATCATTTAATTTCATCCATAAGAGTCATCTTCAGCTCTCTCTTGAGTTGTGTTTCAAGTGTAAACACTTCAGCCTACTAACTTCAGAGTTTCTAACTTTTATTCACAGACATTCTTTGCTGTTCTCCTTCAGGACCCTTCCATTTCAGTGAAATCTGCCTCTCACTGCCTGCATTAGACCTGCATATTCTTGACTCCATGCTTTTGCCCTTGACATTCTCCATTACTCAATTGCTTGTTCACCTCCTCTAAAATCTACATTTTTCATACATTTTTCTTTTGTTAGGTAAGCATTCTTCATTCCTTTTTATTTAATTTATTTTATTGCATTTTAGGTTTTGGGGTACATGTGAAGAACATGCAAGATTGTTGCATAGGTACTTCATTCTTATACAAGATTACTGTTAGAATTGCCAAGATTTTAAGATTCTGAGATTAATTCATTTACTGAGGAGTTTATTGTCTCAGGAATTCTGCTAAGAACTTCTATATGTCCTTTTTATATGCATCTCTCAACAGCCCTTCAAACTAGATGTTATCATCTCTATATTACAGATGAGGAAACAAAGGTTTAGACAGCTTAATTAGCTTGCCCAGACTCATCCAGCTAAGGAAAAGCAGAGCTGAAAATTAAACGTGAATTTTTTTCTCCAAATCCAGTGTTCTTTCCACTGTTTCCAGTGTACTAAAACCATTATCTGACTATGATGGTTGTTTTTACTGGTTTATTGCTTATTCTTGTTTTTCTATATGTTCTAGTCTACCAGTTTAGATAGTTAGATAAGGTATCCTTTATTTCTTTGATGTTTTCTAGTACGTATTATAGAGCTCTGAAAATAGAAAACACTCAACAAATGAAAGTTGGCATCAATTTATTTGTCAAAATACACAGGGCTTTGCCTTTGATACATTTTGCAGTTATTTCTGGGAGAAATTTCAGTCTTTCTGATAAGTCTCATTGGTTGACATGTATGGAGCAAATATCTGGCATGTAGTACAAGCAGTCAGCTTAGGTGGTTATCAAGTCGCCAATCAAAACCAGGCTAGCCAGTTCCTCAGTGACATTCTGCCATCCCTTGACACTCTGTTCTGTGACCTGGAATCACAGGAATTTGTAGTGTATAGATCATCCTAAGTCCTTTGAGAGTCCTGTCTCTGGTGGCCTGGGGAAATTATATATACCCTTTTCATAATATTAATTAAGTGGTTTAATAGTCATTGCTATAAATAAAATGATTATTTAATGTCGTTGGAATGCCAGGTGCCATACCAAACCTAGTGTGACATGCACTTCTGACACAAACACACTATGGTCCTCCTGGCTCCACAGGCGGCTGGATCCTGCAAGCTGTTGGTTATATCATGAACATGGAAAGTTTGACCCTGGGCTGGAGCTGGCTTGTTGTTTTCTGTGGGTGTAGATATTTGTCCCTTGTAAATTAATAGACGAAACAGCTAGTTGGTATTTCTGTTCTGTTTCTCTTGACTATTGTTATTTACATGTCCGTGATAGGGAAATGGCTACATATTACTATCCTCAGTTGAAAACTTAGGCAATCAAACTCCTAAAAGCGTAAGGCAAGGAAGTCAGTTCAGGATTTAAATCCAGAGCATGGAGTTTTCAGCATTTTCCTCCTACTTCAGAGCAGCAGAAAGAATCCATGGGGCAAATGAGAGATACAATTTCCCACTGAGGCAGGTGTGACTTCTGGATGCATCAGGCTGAGAGTTGATCACAGACACCTGGTGAGCAGCTGGCTGAACGAAATGCCAGAGTGTATGTAGCAGTCAAGAACGTGGACTCAGAGGCAGACTGCCTGGGTTTGAGTCCCTGTTCTGCCACTTCCTATCTGTGTGATCTTGGAAGGTGACTTAACCTCCATGTGTTGTACTTTGTGCATCCATCAATTGGAGATTAGAATGGTGCTTACCTCACAAGGCTATTATGAACATTAAGTGAAAAATACACAAAAAGCAAACAGACCAGCATCTAGCACTAAGGAAACACTATGTAAGTGTCCAAGTTAAACAACAATCACAACCAAACCCAAAAGCCAACCAAACAAAAAACCTCCCTTCCATAACATGGCTCTGATAACTTTCATGGAATGAAAGTCTTCTCTCTTATTATACTTGTGTTTTACCCTTTAAACGACAGTAAAGTTTCTGAAAGGTAGGTTGAAGTCAAATCTTAATTAAAGTAGGAAATGTTCTCACCACGATCACCACTGCCCAATCTCTAGAGCTATTTTGGACTCACAAAAGTCTGACTTTTATCCTAATGCAGAGAAAAGGAAAAATGAGAGACCTGAATATATTCTACAGAGAAACTCGCAGCAAGATAGGAATATAATTCTATTTACAAGTGAGTGTTTAAAGAGAGTTGATTTATTGAACTTTTTCTCATTTTCCAGCTACCACTACACAATCAAAGCGGAAAGGCCACTTCTCTAGGTGTCCCAAGCAATACAAGCATTACTGCATCAAAGGGAGATGCCGCTTCGTGGTGGCCGAGCAGACGCCCTCCTGTGTGTAAGTGGAGTGTCCTCAGCCAGCAAGCAAAAGGGTGCAGAATGGTGCCCGCCTGGGGCTTGCCAGGACCGGAAAGTCTGAGCTAACCATGCCATCTGTCCGAACACAGTTTCGCCTGGTCCTGCCCCCAGCCGCTTGTTTAGGGGCCCACTCAGCAACTACTTATGGAGACACTGACGCACACTTTCCTCCTGAAATATGAGTATGTGAGAGTCCAGCTCCACTTCCAGGCTAGGCAGTGTCCTCTGATTTCTTACGCAAGCAGAACTGATTCTTTTCGGCTCAAATAATCTCTTGGGTGGTTCAAATGGAAATGAATTATTCTGACAAGTGTTAGGTGGTTCATAGTTAATTTAAATACAAGGAAATTCCTGCCAAATTAAGAGCTGCTTTTGCAAGTGTCAGTTAAGCACAAGGAATTAGTCCTATTTGTAAATAAGAGATTCGTGAAGCCTGTTTAGTACAGTGGGGAATTGGGAAAAAGTTTTCAACTCTTTGTATTTGAGTCCTACTTCAGTTTTACTCAGGCATGCACAACATTTTTTTTTGCATTTTTAATATGTATTTTTTTCTAAAAAGATGTCCCACTGATGTGCTTCCTGGGACCTTTCCTTAGAGAACTGAGAGGTGATTCTTCAAGTGCAATTTTGACCTAAAATTCATAGAAGGTTCGTGTTCTTCTGCACAGTTGCCCCAGTATATAAGTTTTTTTTTCCCATAAGTATCTCAGAAAAATAATTCCAAATCCCAATTTTGTGGCAACTTTAAGAGTCATGAACTTTTTAAAAACTTAAATATAGTTAAGTTTAATTTAAAAGAGAAATATGCATGGATAATGCTTGGAGGTGGATCACAATTGCTAATGTAAGAAAATAAAGAAATGTGTGTGTATGTGTGTGTGTTGAGAGGAATAGATCTAATTTTTTAAAAAAATTCATTTAATTGCTTCCTGGCTTGGAAGCACATATTGAATTTTAGAAATATTAATGATCTTTAACCCAATACATTTTCTTATTGGTTCCTATGCCTGCAGATTTATTGTTCTTTGATATTGCTGCCTTCTAAAACGAAAACCACAGTGTGTAAACCTACCTGCCAGAGATCAACACACAGATTGTCCCCTTCAATGTAAAGTTTAAACTCATTTTCTTAGCCTTCATAGATCATCTGATCCTGGCTTAACTTTCTAGCTGTAACTCACCATATTCCTAAATGCTTTTCTAAAATTCTTCATTTCATTTCATGATTTATTATATAAGCTCTTCTCATAGCCTGGAAACTTATTTTTGCTAATGGTTTAAGATGCACTGCACTCATCATCTCCTTGTGGACCCCTTCACTGACTTCCTCCTTTTCAGTCATACACCGGGGTCTGAGTTAGGTGTCCTTCCCCTGCGGTCTAGTCACACCTCTGTGAGTGCTCTTATCCAATAGAGCGTAACTGGTGGTTTCTTTAAATGTGCCTCCTGTGACTGTGAGCTCCTAGAGGGCAGGGCTCATGGCTTATTCATTTTTGTATTTCAGTGTCAAACACAGTGCTCAGAATTTACTAGGTGGAGAAGAAATGACTGATGCATGAACAAATAGTGTCCCTATTACAGCCCATCTACTGCTATACTAAATTTCCAGATCAAGACCTTAATCTGAATGGAACATCTTCTTAGCAGAGGAATGAATCACAGTCAGTGGGAGGCAGAAGATCGTAGCAGACAGGGCACAGATTTTGGAGTCAGATAGACCTAAAATAAGATTTTGTTTTGCCTATTATGAGCAGTGTTAATACTGGGTGAGTTACTTTTTCTGAGCCTCAGTTTTATCACCTACAAGAGAGAGTAATAATACTGTCAAGTGTTGAAGATTAGAAAAATAATAAATGCAAAAACACTAATTATGGTACCCAGCACAAAGAAAGTGTTTCATAATTTTAAGAGTTCCAACTTTTAAAGAACATATTTAAGTTAACCATAAATAAAAATTTCCAACTTTTTAAGAACAATTTCTTTTGGAGGCGAGGTCTTTCTATATCACCCAGGCTAGACTCAAAACTCCTAGGCTAATGCTCTTCTCCTTCCTCATCCTCCTGAGGAGCTGTGAGATGTGATAATCAACCTAGGACTAATGTTTCAGGTGGCTCGATGTAGCACAGATTCAGCCAAAACTCTCTTGCCATTGGTGACAATACAGTCTTGAGAAACCAGAAATATCTCCTTTTCTTGGGATCATGGGAGTTTGTGGACTCCTGCTTTTATATGAAAAACCAAAGAGTGTTTCAAATAATGCAGATTTTCTCTGAGTAATCTTCTCAGTATTTCGTTGGAAAAGGGACAATTTGTTTTGTCCCATGTAAAAAATAATTTTTATTATACATGAAGCACAGCACATTGACTGTGCAGTTAATGCATGAACTTGGGATCCAGACTACCTGTTTGAATCCCCATTCTCTTAACTTCTCTGTGTGTCAATTTCCTCAACTAGAAACTGGGGTTAATGATAGCACATACCTCAAAGGCGGTAACAATGATCAAGTTAATATTTATAGATCTTTTACAACAGTGTCTGGTTGTTATTTCAGTATAGTGATCCCAATGCCCAATTTTGCAGTGCCCTCAAGGATCATGGGCAACTTTTAACATTTTTGATTTTAAATAGTAGAAGATGTTTATTAAATAAAAACTCAGTCACCATTTAATTTTAAAAAGTAGAATATGCTCTTTTGGCCTCTTCTCCTACATGGGAGATACACTCACTGAAAATAAACATAAGCTGACATGTTATTGGTTTGCTGAAAAGCAAAATAACATGAGCACCACTATAACCAGCTATGTTAAGTTTTGACCTTTTAGCATGGCTTCATGCGGGTACAACTTATAGGAAGTACTGCTTACTGAGAAATTCAATTAAAGCATTGTTAAGCCACCAGTCCCACAGCATATAATTAGGAAAACATTCTAAAACAGCAGAAAGTAATTGCTGTGCATTTTATGGGCAAAGCTATTGCTTAAAAATACCACATTTTGTAAATTTGTTAGAGGAATATTTAAGCTAGTTGGAAAAGATTATATTTGTAAGAGTTAATTCCAATATTATGAAACTCTAAAAAATCTCCCTCCTATACGCACAATTAAAAGTGATTCCCGGCTGGGTGCGGTGGCTCATGCCTGTAATCCTAGCACTTTGGGAAGCCGAGGTGGGTGGATCACGAGGTCAAGAGATGGAGACCATCCTGGCCAACATGGAGAAACCGCATCTCTACTAAAAATACACAAATTGGCTGGGCATGGCGGCACATGCTTGTACTTCCAGCTACTTGGGAGGCTGAGGCAGGACAATTACTTGAATCTGGGAGGCGGAGGTTGCAGTGAGCCGGGATCGCGCCACTGTACTCCAGCCTGGCGACCAAGCAAGACTTCACCTTAAAAGAAAAAAAAAGAAAAGAAAAGTGATTCCTCCCACCCCTAATTTTAGTCTTATGTATGTCAGACTTTTGATATCTCAAGATATTTCTAAGCTCGCTTCCTGTAATTTCGACCTCAAAATGAAGTTACCTGGCTATCTTGCCGGAAGCAATTTTCTCTCATTCATCCTTGGGTCCTTTTATAATAGATTCCTTGAGGTGTCCTTTCTTCTTTGCTTGCATTACGCCTCACTTTTCAATTGATGGCTGTTACTGAGCTTGTTTTTCGTTTATTTGTTTTGAAGCACTGTCTCAGCTACAATATTGGTATTAAGGGATCTCTTTACTTGAGAAATACAGGCTTTGCGGGAATTAACTGCCTTGTGTTTTGTCAAGCATAAACTATAAAACAGCCCAGCAGTAAATCTTTTCTTAAAGAAAAATGAGGTTGCACAGAATTTTTCTAAGGAGCAGAATTTAATCTTTTTGACTCTTAAATAATTATGTATATGACCAGTATCATTTTGTGTTTTGACTTCATTTGAAGTATTCCCTTAAGGAAAATATTTATTAATATTTTCTATTACTGTTTCCCTGATATTAATAAAGGAAACTATTTATTAATACTAAGGTATCAAGATTACGACAGATAATTTTGGTTAAAATGTCCTCAAACTTTTTATGTACTTTAATTCTCTGATGTAGTTCAGATAATTCTATGAGTAGTTCTCAAATCACTGAGTTGTTAGCTCCCTGGGTGTTACCCCAGCTTGGGTCCACAGCTGTAATCTCAGACTTAGGACATCTGCTGACATTAGATATATACTAACGCAGATTGATAGCTGAGAGACTGAGGGAAGTGAAGAGAGATTGCTGATTTCTTGTCATTCTCCTTGAAGAGGGCCATGGAAAACAGGGAGGACATTTAGAGAAGAGTGGAGGGAATGGTGAACAGATCTGCAAATGTGGAATTAGGAATCAGATAAAGGAGTTAAGAGGACAAGACCTATGTGTCTGGTGTGATGGAGTTAAGGAGGTGGTGAATAAAAGGGTAACAGATGGGCATGATCTAATCTGTGATGCCTTCAAGCACTAAAACTGGAATCGATGAGTAGAATTTAGAGTGGAGGGAGGAGGTGAGAAATTCTGAAGAAATAACATTCACGGAACATTCTCTGTATTGGACATTGCGTTATGAACTTTGACATGCATCAGCATGTTTGAACACATAAAACCATAGAATTTTTATGTAATTTTTAAGAGAGTTTGAGCACACCAAAACTATTTGCATTATCCTATTAGAAAATGGGAAGTTCCCAGGGGTTTTTGAGTTCTTTGTCATGGAAGTATTCAAGCACTGGGAATGCTGTGGAGGGAATTTTATCCTCCCTTCCCTTTTGATTCACAGTCTAAAATTTAAAAATACAATTTAGTGAATTGTCGTCATCTTTGTGTATTTATACTAGACATATTAATAATGTCTAATGATCAAGCGATAAGAGCAAAACAAAAAAAATAAAATTACTAGTCAACAAAGAAGTGTATCTTTTTTTAAATAAAGGAACTGTATTTATTATTAATTTCGAGTAATGAAAACTGTTAATTTCTTCAAAAAAGAAGTAGAGATTCTTAAAAGTCTTGAGTATTTTATTTCCATGCCCTCTTCTTGTTTTATAGCTGTGATGAAGGCTACCTTGGAGCAAGGTGTGAAAGAGTTGACTTGTTTTACCTAAGAGGAGACAGAGGACAGATTCTGGTGATTTGTTTGATAGCAGTTATGGTAGTTTTTATTATTTTGGTTGTTGGTGTCTGCACGTGCTGTCAGTAAGTATTTTTAAACTTAATTTTAAGTAAACCTGAGAAAGTATTTGCTCATAGTTTTCTTTCTTCTTTTCTTCCTCCCTACCTCTTTTTTGCTTTTGCTTTGATTCAAATAAATCAATTTTTTGAGCTTTGCCATTGTTGATATTGAAGTATTCATAATAAACACACAATATATGATTTTTATCATTTACTGAATAACATTGTTATAATTTAAAACAAAATTTGTATAAATGTTCTAGTTAAAAAAGACAATCTTTTAGTCTTAAAGCCTATATTTTGTGTTTGTTAGTAGGTTACATAAGACTTTTATTTTCTAAAACTGTACCATAACACAATAACATTGAAAGATAAAACAATTTTTTTTGCTTTGCCACATTAAAATAATAAGCTTTATATGTAAACCATATTACTTGTTTTTTTCCTGTTACTTTCCAGTATATACCAGAACTTTGAAAATCAGGAAACATCCTGCTTTTTCTCTGAGACAGAGTGGCTTTGCACAACTTTGTGCAAATAAACAACTTTGTGTTTATTTATTTTTTTGAGACAGGGTCTCACTCTTTTGCCCAGGCAGGAGTGCAGTGTTGTGAAGATAGCTCACTGTAGCTTCAAACTCCTGAGTTTAAGCAATCCTCACACTTCAGCCTCCTGAGTAGCTGGGAATACAAGTAGCGTGTGCCACCAAGCCAGGCTTTTTTTTTTTTTTTTTTTCCGGAGACTGGGTCTAACTATTTTGTCCAGGCTGGTCTTAAACTCTTAGCCTCAAGTGATCCTCCCACCTCAGCCTCTTGAGTAGCTGGATTGCAGGTGTGAGCCACTGTACCTGATTCTGGTTCTGGGACAATTCTTAATTAAATTAAATTAGTTTCTTTTGAAAAATTATTATTATTATTAATTTTTGTAGAGCAGGACTACCACTAAGTATGCTGCCAAAAGGAAAAACAAAACAAAACTATCTTATTAAGGTGATTTTTTTTTTTTTTTTTTTTTTTTTTTT